ATGTGTGATAATTTCAGATATATTGAAGAGACAATGTTGGGAAACACTACAATGGTATAAAATCCCTTCCGTTCATATGTACCAAACAGTCAGATCAGTGAAATAGAACAGTCAGTATCAAGCTGATTTCATATCTACAGGGTAAATTGGTACCGAGGGTTTGAATCCCTTCAAGGCAAGGGAGGCAAGAAATATTCTGAGACCAATAACTGTACTTTTTAGAATTACCTCATTTCTAATTCTTACAACACTGTGTTTTACTTTTGTACAGTGGTCTTCAACCTTGGGGTTTCGCTCATTGCGCCCTGCATGGTGTTGCCTGTCTTCATTAGCCCACAAGGTGCAGAAAAATAGGACGTAAAACTCCTTTCATTTCATCTCATTTCAACCTGGGTGTTGATAAAATATTTTTGGGGTATAAGAAGAGATATTAATTATGTTATATCCTCAAATGAAGTTTATTACTATTGTAAAACTGACCAACTGGACTATAAAATAAAAATAGAAATTAACAATAACAAAATGATAAGTAGACCATCTAATTAACTAAGCTCATTTCATACTACCCACACATGTTTCAGACACACAATGCTCATCAGGACACTGTGTTATAGATAAAGAAGTAGCAAAACTAATCACCGTGTGGCCACAGATGGAACAAAAGGATAAGCATACTCTCTCTGGTCCTCTGAATTTCATGACATCTGATGATGACGTGTGTATATTGTGTTGAAACGTTATGTGCCCAACCTTATTAAAGAAGTGTGTTATATTCCATAATATTGTCTTGTGTTTTTGTTATATGCGCTCCTCGCTTCTATATGTCGTTCAAATCTTATAATAAAATATGGCCTAGCCCTAGTTTTTTTTTTACATAAAAATGCGCAAATTAAAAAAAATTTAAAGTCAAAAATTATCTTTGAAAAGAGTAAATCCACACAAACAAACATGACAATACTAGGTATATTTCAGTTAATTGTAGGTGTATTTTTTTTGGTTATAAAATAGTCAATGTCTAAAATTTTATGAATAATTAGAAGAAAAATACTTTATTGATGCCAGTTGTTGACTTTTAAATTTTGTTGATAGACAGTAAAAGTTGAATTCTCGAAAGCACTGGTTGTGGCAGCAGAGTTTTTCTGATTAAGGGTGATATGACCTGTACTGCCCTGAGTGATATTGATTAATATTCAATAATTAGGGGTGAATAATGATAAAATAATCATTCTTGGTGTCTATAATAGACTATGGAGATAAATTCAGGAGGGTAGCAGAGCATGACATGAGGGGTGTAGAGTGAAAATGAGATCATGTGGTATTTGTTTCGCTTGAGTTAACACTAGGGCCACTCTGACCAGAAGTCAGTTATATTGGGAGTGGAAGTTGACCAGTGAAGATGAAGTCAATACCACACAGCCAGTGTTTCATAGTATATTAAGACCAAATGACTGACTGACTATAGCTTGGTTTAGTTTAAAGATAGCATTACTAACTGTGATAAGAAGGAAACGATTCAAACCAACTCAGTGAATGTACTGACAACTTCATCAATGTGTGTGGATTTAAATTTCCTCTTCATGTGAGCAGTTTATCACATGTAATGTATGTGTTTCATTAGTAAGCTTATAGTGTTATAACACCCTACCAACGTCTAATTTTCACATGATTAATAAGCTTATCTATTGCTCTGACCTAGGCCAGTGCTTTTATTGAGACTCGTCTTAATACATCCTGAAACCCTAGAAAGTTGACTGTATATCATGTTATATATGTGTAAAAGGGATATGTGTATAGTGTTATAACACCATAGGAAGCAAGGATATAGCAGTATTAAACGCATGTGTTTATAAAGTGTTTTGTGTGTTATGGTTGGAGTAGTATTGTTGATAAAGAGATGATATTAATATTATTACAAGGTTAAGTATTGTTACAATACAGGCCAGGATTATATCACTGCCTTTGTTTAGATCTTTACACCCTCTAGCATGGCTTATTCCAGTATTGATTTAGGTTTAAAAACATGTTAAGATTTTATGGTTAAATTACAATAACTAGATATACTATTTTTTTATATTAAAATTTCATTTGAGTTATGAAAGAACCATTGTTTACATGCTATCATTATAATTAACACCCTCCAGGTTGGCCCCATAGGTGTAAGAACAGGTCAATTTTTCATCACTGCCTTTGTTTTGTTTTACCAGGATTTTACACCCTCTAGATTGGCTCATTAGAAAACATCCAAGATATATCATCAGGGCATTAAACACGATTTCATTTATCAATAAGATACAGAACACGAGGATTTAAAACTCTATTTCATTTCATCACCCAATAAGAACAGTAGGATGTAAAACTCTATTTCATTTCATCACCCAATAAGAACAGTAGGATATAAAACTCTATTTCAATTCATCACCCAATGAGAACAGTAGGATATAAAACTCTATTTCATTTCATCACCCAATAAGAACAGTAGGATATAAAACTCTATTTCAATTCATCACCCAATAAGAACAGTAGGATATAAAACTCTATTTCATTCCATCACCCAATAAGAACAGTAGAATATAAAACTCTATTTCATTTCATCACCCAATAAGAGCAGTAGAATATAAAACTCTATTTCATTTCATCACCCAATAAGAACAGTAGAATATAAAACTCTTTTTCATTTCATTAATTATTTAAGACACCATGGTAAATTATGTTTTTTTGAAGGATACTACAATGTTCGTGTTATTTTACAATTTTAACGTATTTATTGTTGAGATACAGGGTTTCAATGTTGACAGGAGTTTAGTGAAAAATAAACAAAGATAGATTTCAATGGTTTCAATTTACATTGTTTTTTTCTTAGGTTGTTGTTTTCCTAGGTGGTTGTTGTTTCCTAGGTGGTTGTTGTTTCCTTGATTGTTATTGTTTCCTTGGTGGTTGTTGTTTCCTTGGTGGTTGTTGTTTCCTTGGTGGTTGTTGTTTCCTAGGTGGTTGTTGTTTCCTTGGTTGTTGTTGTTTCCTTGGTGGTTGTTGTTTCCTTGGTGGTTGTTGTTTCCTTGGTGGTTGTTGTTTTCCTAGGTGGTTGTTGTTTCCTTGGTGGTTGTTGTTTCCTTGGTTGTTGTTGTTTCCTTGGGTTTGTTGTTTCCTTGGTGGTTGTTGTTTTCCTAGGTGGTTGTTGTTTCCTTGGTGGTTGTTATTTCCTTGGTGGTTGTTGTTTCCTTGGTTGTTGTTGTTTCCTTGGTGGTTGTTGTTTCCTTGGTGGTTGTTGTTTCCTAGGTGGTTGTTGTTTCCTTGGTTGTTGTTGTTTCCTTGATTGTTGTTGTTTCCTTGGTGGTTGTTGTTTCCTTGGTTGTTGTTGTTTCCTTTGTGGTTGTTGTTTTCTTGGTGGTTGTTTTCCTAGGTGGTTGTTGTTTCTTTGGTTGTTGTTGTTTCCTTGGTGGTTGATGATTCCTTGGTTGTTGTTGTTTCCTTGGTTGTTGTCGTCTCCTTGGTGGTTGTTGTTTCCTTGGTGGTTGTTGTTTCCTTGGTGGTTGTTGTTTCCTAGGTGGTTGTTGTTTCCTTGGTGGTTGTTGTTTCCTTGGGTGTTGTTGTCTCCTAGGTGGTTGTTGTTTCCTTGGTTGTTGTCGTCTCCTTGGTGGTTGTTGTTTCCTTGGTGGTTGTTGTTTCCTTGGTGGTTGTTTCCTA